AGAGCAAGGTCGGCTTGGCCGTCTTCAGATAGTACCTATTGGACTTCGTTAACGTTCGAATGAAATCCCTTGATGTGGCAGAAATTCACGGATAGCGTGGCAGGGGTCACCTTTGTTTTTGCTCTACTTGCCACGAGCAGTATTAATCTTAAGCGGAATTTTGCCCTCTCCCCCCTGTAGTGTTTGCATATATGTAGTATACAGTAAATATTGTTAGTTGTTTTATTTACTAATAATTTACCATGCACAAATACACAAACATACATTTATATATAAGTCACTGTCTCGAGCGCACCGTGTCAGTAACACGAGAGCCTCGGGCGAGAGTGGACGTGTTTAGTTAAGTGAGTGTCGAGTCTGTGTTACACTACAGTGATTAGAGAAGATAGCAGACATTACAAGTGGCGACGAGGAAAAAGATAAGTGCCTATTTAGTATAAAGGTATAATCAAAAATAGGTTAGCAATGTGCAACTATTAGCATTGCAATTATAAATTAATTCCTAGAGTACCCGCGGAAAAAAACTGTGGATTATGAATTATGTTTTATTGTTTTAACCCTGTTCTGAGCATTTTAATAATTTATATTGTTACGAGCTTGGGGTTCGAGATAATTAAAAACTGCCGAGTGAATTACCATAATTGACTATTTAATTACACAACACTAATTATAACTTAAAATCACACTAATAATAAAACACAGTTCGCCGTTATTTCGCTTCGAAGTAATCTCTTGTATCGCCAATTCAATACTGCCCCGGTCGTGGTCTATACCGGCCTTATATAGGGCCTCAGATAGTTTCCAGAACCTTCTACTGTAGCGACATCTAGAATGTTCGAGTACATATCGGTCCCGAAATTTCTGGAAGGATCTCGACTCTCCTAGTTCTGCTACTCGATACTAGAGGGCGCTAGTGTAACTGTGTTGCCATGTACAAGACATTAATAGTGGCGCGCAATACTTTCATTTACTCGACACTATAGTACGGCCGCTGAGTTATTACCGATTTGACAAATTATTCTTAAATTAATCGATATAACCTTGCACGAGCGACACATTTGCCGAATGATTTAGAATACCTCTTTAATATAAAACTTTATGTCAAAATGTCAGAATCAAGTAATTTTCCAATAAACTCTGTTTCAAAACTTAAAATAGTTTGTAAATAATATGAAAACATTTATTTTTTTATCTTTGGCGCGCTTGTACAAAGTTACATCGTGCGTCTAGTTTTCATAGTGATGTGCTTGATAGTATTCGGTCCGAATTCATTGGAATAGATATGATATTTATTTTATTTGGATATTTTTATTTTACTTATTCCTTCGAGCAACTAGACTATAATGCTACCATTTTTTTGCGTCTCCTAATTGCACTGTGTTGCCAGTATCTCTATGATTTTTAAGATTTATGTGTGATCCAAAGAGAGAAATACTGTTTTCTATGATTTAAAAATAAATACTATTAAAATGATTATGTATAATTTTTAACATTCATAATATATAAAACAATATTTAATAAATATAATTTTCTCCCTCAATTAAGCAATGTTATAGGTGTATTTTTTTAAGTAATTGGCGATACTATTCTCGCAACACACTTACCACCGCTATTTTAATCTGTTTAGTCGTCTTCCGTACTCTCGTGCGCACAGACTACGTTCTCTTGTGTAACCGTTGTTTTTTGACTCGGCTTTCTCCTGTTTATCGTTGCGCTTTATTGGACTAATTTTGTTTGTGTTTGGTAATTTTGTTGAAAATGCCGAAACGAGGAAAAACATTGAATAGTCAATGTCGTGAGCTTGTACTAAAGCTACAGGATTACTTTGAGCGTGAGTCACAAAATGGCGGCCCTTTGATTCCTGTCACTCAAGTGAAAGATCGGGTTTCACAAGCTCTTGGAATTGGTGCAAAAACACTATATAATATAAATAAAGAAAAATTTGGTGCTTCTGGAAGTGAAGATAATGTTTTACGCACTCCTAAGAAAAAACGAAGACAAAAGCCCGTGACAGGTGTTGATGTTTTTGATGCAGATGCAATAAGAAACCACATATACTAGGAACGAGTTTCCAACTAGACGTTTGCTTTTGGTCTCTTTAAAAGAAGCTGGCTTGTTTAAAGGCGGTAAAACGGCGTTGTCAAAACTAATGCACGAAATTGGGTTTGAATATAAAAAAACGAATAAAAGGAAAATATTAATGGAAAGATTTGATTTAATAATTAAAAGGAGCGAGTTTTTAAGAGAAGCCAGAAAAATCGAGTCTTGGGACAACGTCGTTTTTGTTGACGAAACATGGTTAAATGCGAACCACACTGTGTCACGCTCTTGGACTGACGAAACAAAAGCATCAACCTCAAAGGTTCCAATTGGAAAAGGATCGCGACTGATAATTTGTCACGCCGGTTCTGCTGGAAGTGGTTTCTTTGAAAATGGACTGCTGGCTTTCGCGTCAAAAATTACTTCCGATTACCACGAGGAGATGGATACAGACACTTTTACGAATTGGTTCGAAAATCAATTATTACCCAGCCTGCTAGAGCCTTCTATCATAATAATGGACAACGCTTCATATCACTTGAAACAAGTGAATAAAGCGCCTACTCAGGCCGACAAGAAAGCTGATCTCGTAGCATGGCTACACCAAAATGGAATTGAAACTACTGCCGAAATGCTAAAGTCTGACTTAGTAAAGTTAGTACGCGAAAATAAAACATCAAGAGTCCGTTATGAAGTAGATGAGATAGCTCTAGCACATGGACATCGGGTACTTCGAATTCCGCCTTATCACTGCCAGTACAATGCCATTGAGCTAATATGGGCACAAATCAAAGGTATTGTTTTTGATCGCATAAGTTATGAATATGAATAATTTGTACTATTATAACATCCAATATTCAGCATATAAGTAAAAAGATACATAACTAAGAAATAAATATCTCATGTCCCTTACATGTAGGTAATTGTGTAACATTTCGTTTATTTAATGTAATAAATTAACGTTATTTAATGTTTACATTACAGGTTACGCAGCTCGTAATAATACGACTCCGCCATTCAGTACTAATAAAATGATGGGTCTATTAAAAGATGCTTGCAGCAAAATAACGAAAGAAGATTGGGTCAAGGTCGTCGAAAAGACTCGAAAACTAATAACAGAAGATTATGAACGCGATATAAGAGTGGACACCATTATAGAGAATGAAATTGTCATACAAGTGACTGATAGCGATGACAGCTGTGGCGAATCTGGTTCAGAGTCTGAATAATTGTTTTAATAAATGATAGGTAGTCATTTATTAAAACATCTTGTACCTACTCTATTCATTAAAATGTGTAACAGTGTTTACAAATTTGTTTTATTTTGATATGTCCTCGGCCAATTATCTACGCCCATCAAGGATACTCCACCTAATAAAGAAACTGTGTCTTTAACTATTATTGTTTTGATTTTATTTAATTACACACTATACTAGAATATTTAAAAACAAACTGTTCCCAAATGATATTAGGGTTACTGGTTCAGTCACTTCACTAGTATTGTCAATTCGTCATGTGTCAAATCGGTAATAACTCAGCGGCCGGACTATAGGAGGCGCTAGTGTAACTAGTGTTACCATGTACAAGACATTAATAGTGGCGCGCAACACTGCCCCCTCTTAAGACATGCTCGTCCCGAGCATAATAACGCGCCAGTCGATCCACATGGACAATCTTAGAAGTACCTCTGACACCTTTCTGTATCCGGTAGGTTACGTCATTGATCCTTGTCACAATCCGGTACGGTCCGTCCCATTTAGCTTGAAGCTTAGGAGATTTCCCTTTGCTGCGAACTGGATTGTGTAACCACACTAGTGAACCTTCATCAAACCCCTTGTTGTTCATTTTGCGGTCATACCGTGTTTTCATCTTCTCAGACGTTTGCTGGCCCGTCTGTCTGACGTGCTCATAAATGTCATTCATTTTGTTCCGCAAGTCATTTGCATAATCGGTTATACTGCGTGGGGCATCAGGTGGTATTCCTGTGATCAGGTCTGCAGGCAGCCGCAATTCTCCCCCAAAGTTTACGAAAGCTGGTGTCACTGATGTACTTTCGTGAACAGCGCTTCGATATGACAACAAAAACGGTTGTATGTGCCTGTCCCAGTCTCGTTGCCGTTTTTCCACAACTTTTGCTAGGTACCTCTCCAATGTCTGATTAAACCTTTCTACCATTCCATCAGATTGTGGGTGGTAAGAAGTTGTTCGTGTTTTCTGAGTACCCATAACTCGGCAAGTTTCCTGGAATATTTGAGACTCAAAATTCCTTCCTTGATCGCTGTGAATCTCTAAAGGTACTCCAAAACGACAGAAGATTTCATGAACTAGTTTATCTGCAACGGTTAAGGCTTCTTGATTTGGAATGGCGGAGACTTCTGGCCACTTAGTGAAGTAATCCATCACAACCATGAAATACTTGTTACCACTTTCAGTTTCTGGAAACGGCCCCGCAACGTCAATGGCTATCCTCTCCCATGGTGCACCAACATTGTACAATTTCAATGCGCCTCTACTACGAATTTGAGGTCCCTTTACAGCCGCACAACTTGTACATTTGCGGCACCAGTCCTCGACATCGTCACGACAGTGGACCCAGTAAAACCGTTCTCAGATCTTCAGGAGAGTTCGTTTAACTCCCACGTGGCCTCCTGAACAACCACTATGGTACAGCTGTAGAATATCCGGCACTTTAGCCTTAGGGACAACCATTTGCAAATGACACCTGTCTCCCCGACCATTTTCCCATTTACGGCACAGGACTCCATTCTGAATCAGCAAGCTGTCCCATTGGGCCCAATAGCTTTTCGTGGTCGAAGTCATTGCTGAGACGTCGCTCCACTTGGGCTTAGGAGCATTGGCCTTCATCCATTCCAGAATCGGCTTAATGTCCGAATCTTCCTGCTGTGCATGTTGTAAGCTGTCCTTCCACTCATTGCTGAGCTGGTCTGTCCTGAGCATTCTCACAGATACCACTTCCTTACTCTCTTGCCTAGTACAATGCTTGCAATCTTCAGGGCAAGGTCTTCATGAGATTTCCCGCTGCGATGTTCGATCACAAAGTCGTATTCCTGCAGTAGTTCAATCCATCTCGCAACTTGTCCTTCCGGATTTCTTGTGACACAATAGTTCCTTTTCAGCTTTGACAACGACTTGCTGAAGTACGCTATCACAATCTCTTGATCACCATTCCGTTGAGACAACACACCGCCAAGTCCTATATCACTTTCGTCTGTGTCAACTATGAATTCCTTGCCCGCATCAGGGTACCCCAAAATAGGTGTTTTGCACAGACGGTTCTTGAACTCCTGGAATGCAATATCGCAACTTTCATCCCAGCAGAATTGTCGCTTCTCCTCGGTTAGCTTGTGCAGAGGTTTGGCTATATCTGCAAAGTTCTTCACAAATCGCCGATAATAAGAGCACAAACCCAAAAATGCTCTAACCTGTGTCTTGTCTTTTGGGACCGGCCACTCCTTGACAGCAGCAATTTTCTCTGGATCCGTGCGGATACCTTCTTCCGACACTACATACCCCAAAAAACTAACTTGCCGTTTGAATAGTGAGCACTTCTTTGGACTCAACTTGAGGTTGGCACTCTGGATCTTCATGAGCACGCGTTTCAGGTTTTGAAGGTGTTCCTCAAACGTACGGCCTACGATGATGATGTCATCCAAATAGACGAGACAGGCATCTCCAATTAGCCCGGTAAGTACAAGCTCCATCAACCTTTCAAACGTTGCTGGAGCATTGCACAATCCAAACGGCATGACTTTAAATTGCCACAGGCCCTTTCCTGTGGAGAATGCAGTTTTCTCCTTGTCCTTAGGGTCAATTTCAACCTGCCAGTAGCCACTTTTCAGATCCAGCGTACTAAACCACTTTACGCCTGTAAGCATGTCCAGCGTGTCATCAATTCTTGGCAAGAGATAGCTGTCCTTCTTTGTAACGTCGTTCAGGCGGCGGAGGTCAACACAAAACCGCATGCTGCCGTCCTTCTTCTTTACCAGAACCACAGGTGAACACCATGGACTAGATGAAGGTTCAATAACACCATCCTTCACCATTCCCTCAATCATGGTTTCCACTTCCTTTTCACGTGCTACGGGCAATCTTCTTGGCCGCTGACTAATAGGCAATTCTTGTCCTGTGTTTATTTTGTGTTGAACTAAGCCAGTCTTTCCTATGTCAGCTTCGTTTTACGAGAAAACATTGGCGTACTTGAGTAACAACTTCTTCGCTTTGACCGTTTCATTCGGGGAGAGAACGCTGCGACAGTCTTCTAAAAGTGTGGTCACTCTAGTTTGTCCATCCTTGCTGGGGGTCCCAGTCGATAGATATTCGCACCGACGCAACCAATCCACTTCCTCACTAGTACCAACCAATGTGCCTTTTTCTATAATCTGTTCCTGATCACAAAGGTTCAGCACACGTACTCCTGAGATGTCGGCGGTTCTGACCAAGGTTCGAGCCACTTTCCATGGAAGGTCATTGTCTACCCTCTCCACGAGTACACAACGAAGAGTTTGCCCAGGATTCCGTGGAAGTCTAACCGGCACAATCGTTTCCGATCTCGGCGGAAGAACAATCTTCTTAAGGCTGTACACCTTCCCTGGTAACGCCCCTTCCACGAAAAGTTCCTCTTGTCCACATTTCAAAACACCTTGCTTAACGTCGATCTCACAACAATTCTTCCTCATAAAGTCTAGGCCCAGGATGCAGTAGTCCATTATATCAGCCACGATGACATTATGCAGGTAGATCATGTTGCCTAGCTTCAACTCCATCTCCTTCTCTCCACGGACGGGTATGCGCTGACCGGTGGCTGTCACCAAATTAATGCGTTCTCGGTTGTATGCGGAGTTCCCAAGGAACCGACTTATAAGTTGGGAACTGACAACCGTGCGAGAAGCTCCAGTGTCTATGGTCAGTTTACACGGCGTTCCGTTGACTTCGCCCTTGATGATTAGGCTGTTCCCATCATGGGTTTGTGAGATCGAAATCCTTGGGGCTCTTTTAACATCAGCCAGCACCCGCCCCGCAGTTCTGGCTTTTACTCGTTTCCCTGCTGCTGCTGGGCGGTGCTATTATCCGCACTACCCTTTCAAGATCGATCACCTTCCCTTTCTACAGTTCGTTTAGGGCAGCTGGATCGAAGATGGCCCCTTTCTCCACAGCCGTAGCACCTAGGGCTGTAGCCCTTATTGCGGTCCTGAACTGTAGCTGCTGCAACCTCATTGACGCGGTGGGAACGATGATCCTGCCGCACGGCTTCTACCTCCAGTGCATGGGTCAAGGCGTCCTTAAGCGTCTCGTGGTGCCCAAGCCTCACAGCAGCTCTGACTTCAAGGTCGCGGATGCCGTCGATGAATCTCTGCACCAGGTTCCCTACAATGAGCGCAGGTACAGACTTGTACGTTTTTCGAACCAGCTTCTCCACCTCAAGGGCCCACTGCTGTAGGTTTTCGTTACTGCGTTGCACGCGATCTTTGAGCTGCGCACGAAAGACGTGTTCCAGGTGAGCATCGTCATATCTCGCCTCCAATGCCTCAAGGAGCTGCTCGTAAGTCACTTCCTTACCGAGAGCTTCCAGAACAGTTAAGGCCTGGTCGCGTAGGCCTAGGGTGAGAGCAGTCATGGCCTGACTTTTATTCCAGCCGTTCGCTTTCATGACAGCCTCGAACTGGATTTTGTAGGCCGACCAGGAAGAACTCCCGTCGAACGGCGGCACTTTGAATCCACGTAGCGAAGGTGTTGTAGCTACCACGGGAACTGTAACTCCTTCCCCAAGTTTGAGGTTGTCCAGCGTTTTCTTAATGTCAGCCATCACGTTGTCAACCCGATTGTACACTTGGTCGATTCGAGTTTCAGCTTCGGACAGGCGGTTTTCATATCGTGCAACCTTATCCTTCACCTCCCTTATCTCTTTCCCAAAGGTAGCGTGAAGGTCCTTCATGAGAAGTATCTGCTCTTCCTTGTCACGTTTGAGCTGCTCTTCCAACCGGTGGCCCTGTTCCTCCTGTCCACGCTGCAGCTGCTCTTCCAACCGACGGGCCTGTTCCTCCTGTCGGCGGGCTTGCTCCTGCAGCATCATCATCAGAGCACCTAAGTCAGGTGCTGCAGATGCAGGAGCTGCTGACGGCCCGGCCTCCTCGGTCGGCAGCTGGCCCTCCGACGTTTGCGGCGATGCATTACCAAATCGTCTCTGGTCCGTCTCCAGCTGGCGTTGACTTCGGGTACGGATACCCTCCATGTCGTCCTTTGGTAAAATCGACATGATTTGATCCCACTTCTGACACCAATTGTTACGAGCTTGGGGTTCGAGATAATTAAAAACTGCCGAGTGAATTACCAAAATTGACTATTTAATTACACAACACTAATTATAACTTAAAATCACACTAATAATAAAACACAGTTCGCCGTTATTTCGCTTCGAAGTAATCTCTTGTATCGCCAATTCAATACTGCCCCGGTCGTGGTCTATACCGGCCTTATATAGGGCCTCAGATAAGTTTCCAGAACCTTCTACTGTAGCGACATCTAGAATGTTCGAGTACATATCGGTCCCGAAATTTCTGGAAGGATCTCGACTCTCCTAGTTCTGCTACTCGACACTAGAGGGCGCTAGTGTAACTAGTGTTGCCATGTACAAGACATTAATAGTGGCGCGCAATACTTTCATTTACTCGACACTAGGGGGCGTTAGTGTAACTAGTGTTGCCATGTATAAGACATTAATAGTGGCGCGCAACAATATAAATTATATGTTCGCATATGACCACGCTTATGGTGTGCAAAAATTTATTTTCTTTATGTAACAATGATAAAATAATGATTTATTTTAACATATGTCTATTAGCACAACTTTTATTTAAAAAGATTTTTGATGGAAAAATAGTAGATGTAACTTATCACTCCTCTCGATTCGAACCGAAATACAATGTCGTTAGCTAAATTTTAGTGGCATTTTACATGTAAGTGTGATATTTATCGCCTTTAATGAAAATACTATTTTACCGCTTTCATGGCATATATAAGTCTTACAAAAAATTGTGGACACTTCACGACTTCTGTACATTGCATAGTAGGTAACTAGTAATACTGTAAATGCGCAATATAGGTATTGAATTTACCCAAAGCCTAAATGGCACAGCAATGGAAGTAGTCGGTATAACAAATAAACCGAAAGAGAAGGGCGAGTGTTATGGAACATATTATTATCATGAAATTGAGTTTGGGTACCAAAATACCAACAATGGTTGGTATTTTGGTACCTGGTTGGTATTCTGGTAAATTGGTGTTGGGTACTAAGATACTATCATTAAATTGAGTTTGGGTACTAAGATACCATCATTAAATTGAGTTTGGGTACTAAGATACCATCATTAAATTGAGTTTGGGTACTAAGATACCATCATTAAATTGAGTTTGGGTACTAAGATACCATCATTAAATTGAGTTTGGGTACTAAGATACCATCATTAAATTGAGTTAGGGTACTAAGATACCACCATTAAATTGGAGTTTGGGTACTAAGATACCAACCATTAGATTGGAGTTTGGGTACTAAGATACCACCATTAAATTGGAGTTTGGATACTAAGGTACTACCATTAAATTGGACTTTGGGTACTAATGTACCACCATTAAATTGGACTTTGGGTATTAAAATACCAGCATTAAATTGGAAATAAAAATATAAGAAATTGTTTCAGCTTGCCCCTTAAATAATAATAATAATGATACCGTTATCAACTTTAATGTGATAGCACATCTATGGCTATAAGGTGTGAAAAATGGAAAAGGTCTCTACTAATCTATCAGGACGCAGCTGAAGTCATATCAGCACTCAAGAAACGAGCTACGCTATTGCATTTTGGTGGCTCTGGGATACAAGAAATATTCTACAATTTACCGGGTGCCAATGTCGAATCATCAGAAACCGTTGATGTATTTAAAGTAGCCATAAAAAACTCTATGAGTATTTTCAACCTAAACGGAGCAAAGTTATGAGCGGCATGTTTTCGATTGCTAAAACAGGAAAAAGGAGAAACATTTGAGAAGTTTTTGATAAGATTGCGTCAACAGGCCGAAAAGTGTGCATTCGAAAAGCAAGATGATCATTTCATAGATCAAATTGCGGAATAGTGTAATTCGAAATTGCGCAAGAACCTTATATCTTACAAAACGTGGGAAGAGTTAAAAAGCAAAAAAGTATATGCTTTTAATCAAATATAAAGACCAGACAAGACATTATTAGCATATGGTAGTAACTCTCCTTTGGCAATAGAGGGTTCATTGGAAACTATACTCGAAGTCGATGGACGAAAGGAACATACAACCATTTACGTGATTTCGGGGGGTACTAGAGACCTGTTTGGTAAGAACACAGCAGTCCGTCTGGGTGTCTTAAAACTTGGTATCGGGATAAATCAAGTGAAGAGTACCGATCCCCATCAAAAAGAATGTTGCAATCGAAATTAAGGAATTACTAAACAGTGATATAATTGAAGAAGTGCAAGGCCCGTCTAAATGGGTTTCACCAATGTTTCAATCATGAAAGAAAATGGTGAATTACGTTTGTGCGTAGATATGAGATGTACGAACGCCGTTATATTGCGAGAAAACCACCCCCTGCCTGCTATGGACCATTTTTGCCAAAAATGAAGAAAGCTAAATATTTTAACAAATTAGACATAAAAAAAATGCCTTCCATCAAGTGGAAATTCACTCTGAATCCAGACACATAACGACTTTTATAGCCCCCAAAAGATTATATAGATATAAAAGAATAATGCTTGGAATTACCTGCGCTTCCGAGATTTTTCAGAAGATCATTGAAAGGATGTTGATAAACTGTGAAGGGTCGTCAATTTTATTGATGATATCCTGGTATTCGGGAACAGTGAAGAAGAACATGACGCATGACTAAAGAAAGTTCTACAGGTACTTAGTAAAAACAACGCCGTGCTGAATAGCACTAAATGCATATATAAAACGCAGGATGTGAATTTTCTGGGACACAGGCTTACACATGATGGAGTAAACCCTTCAACAAGTACGTTGAGAGCATTAT